AAATATTACCCAGAGAAAATTGTCAAAGAGCACCAAGCTACAAGTGGGTAGATCCAATGTTCTAGTCTGGGAAAATTAGTACGTATAAGGAGGCTGCCATCATGGCTGTGTGACCTGTGAGTTGGAGAGACCCTGCCATTAGAAGACCCTTCCCCCATCACACACACACACACACACTCACACACACACACACAGTCCAATGTTCTGCTGTTGTTGACTTGAATATTTAATCATTTCTCAACAAGGGGCTTTATATTTTTATTTTCACTAGCCTCCACAAATTATGTACACAGTTTGCTATATAAACAATGACATATTAATAATGTATATTTCAATGGGGTTGGACAAATTCAAGCTTTCAATTATTTTAGTAAATTTTAAAGAGTAAATTTGGCCCACCTGTTCTGATGAAAGTAGATTAATCCACAGAATTAAATTGATACAAAACTGATTGTGACCACTGGGATCTTTGTTGTTGTTTGCTGTATTACATACTCATCATTTCAAGTAGAAAATAAGGATGAAGTACAATATTCCATTGTCAAATGTGACCATCTGTAGAATGAAAAATTATCTGCTGGGTTGTAAACTCATTTCAGTGAGAGACACTGTTTTGCCCAGACCTTAAAACATTATTGGTAGTCATTAAATTTAATTGATAGTGGCATTTGTTAAACAGGCTGAGTAGAAGAACATTTTAATTTTTTATCTAAAATAATCAGCTATAGGGTAGAACTGTTCATAACAAATGTTGAAGTTGTAACAAGAGGCAAAATTATGATCGTGAGTGTGGGTTCAGGCTCCTCATTGCCTACATATGAATCCCAACTCTGCCATTCTCTAGCTTTATGGCTAGAGAATTAGGGAGAAGGGCTATGGTATCTTTTAAATCATACTTTCTTAATTAACAGAAATGATTTAAGGGTAATTCTGCCTTAAGAAAGACTCATATTTCCAGTTTACCACTCTATCTCCACATTTGGATAGCTAATAAACTTCTCAAATTTAAAGTATTTAAATAGAAATCTGGATCCACCTCCATTCCCTAGCTGGTCTCCACCAGTGTTCTTCAAATTAGTAAGTGGCACCTCTACTTATCCATTAACAGGAACAAAAACCTAGGAACCATTTATTAACCTTCTCTTCTCACTCCAGACATCAATCTACCAACATATCTCATAGGCTCTGTCTCCCAAGTATCTCCTGAAAGTACCCTTACTCTATCTACCACTACTTTCACTCCAGGCTAATCTATTTCTGTCTCTCACCAAGGCTACTGCCAGCTTCCAACTGATGCCCCAGCTTCCATTCTGTCCCCTCTTCAGACTCCCTTAAGAGCCTATTATCTATGTAGCATTAACATAATCTTTTCATAAGTCAATCCATATCATTTTTCTACTCTAAATATTAAATATTCCAATGGCTGCCCATCACACTCAGAATTAATTCCAAATTCAAGAACAAACAAATCATCTGGCATGATATCTCTCCTGGCCATGTCGATGACCTCATTTCCGTCCACCAATGGCCTTCCCTCATTCTCTTTATCTACACTGCCCATCTTGCTGTTGCTCAAATACACAAGCATGTTTCTGCCTTGAGGCCTTTGTACTACCATTCTTTCTGCCTTGAATACTCTTTCCTCAGATATTTACTTAATTCAGATCCCTGATCAAAGAAGACTTCCCTAACCACTTGTCCAAAACAGCCCTCCCTGCTTTTCCTCATTATTTATCTCGCAAAATTTTGTCTTTAAGCAAATTATTGCTAGTTACTATTAATGAATTCTAATTCCTTTACTGAAATACAAGCTATATGATAGGAGAAACTTTGCTAATCTTGTTGACTAGTTCATTCCCAGCCTTTACAGCAGTCACTGACACTTAGAAATTGACCAAAAAATATTTGTTGAGCAAAGACAAGCGAGCTACACAATGTCCATTAAAAAGTGGATGGCCAGGACTTCCCTGGTGGCACAGTGGTTAAGAATCCTCCTGCCAATACAGGGGACACAGGTTCGAGCCCTGGTCTGGGAAGATCCCACGTGCTGCAGAGCAACTAAGCCTGTGCACCACAACTACTGAGCCTGTGCCCTACAGGCCGCGAGCCACAACTACTGAGCCCATGTGCCACAGCTACTGAAGCCTGTGCGCCTGGAACCTGTGCTCCACAACAAGAGAAGCCCCAGAAATGAGAAGCCCACGCACCACAGTGAAGAGTAACCCCCACTAGCCGCGACTTAGAGAAAGCCTGCACTCAGCAACGAAGACCCAACGTAGCCAAAAATAAATAAAATAAAATAAAATTTTTAAAAAGTGGATGACCATATTCTCATAAAGCTTTGACTCAAAAAGTCCTATTTGCATTGTGTTCCTTAAACATAGATTCAGAAATAAAAGTATATTTTTTAAAGTCGTGAAATTTTGTAGAAATGATGATCATCTTGGCACATATTAAGTTTCAATAAGTATCAGTGAATAAAACAAATAATGGCAGGCACTCAATACATATTTGATGGATGAATGAATGAGTGAATGAGGATGTATTGGCCAAATAAGTTACTATGGTAACCACCAAGTTAAGAAAGAAATATACAAAATTAAAGGCTTACTGAATTAAAGCAAAGCTAAATATTTGAAATGCTATATCTTTCAATGTAATCAGGCAGATATAGAAAAAGAAATGTTCAATCATTTATGAGGTGCTTTTTAAATTTAATTTTCTCATAGCTAACAAAGAATATTATCAGAAAGACCAGGTGAGGCAAAGATTGATGTATTAGTAAGGAAAATGCTAGCTGCTATAACAATAATCTCCAAAATTTTGCTAGCCTGATACAATATAAATTTATTTTCCATTCACATGAAGTCCAAATGAGTGTTTCTGATTTTAGATATTGTCCTTCAAATAGACTTTTAGGAACTTAGGCTACTTCCTTTCTGTGGCTACCCATCTTTAATATGTGTTTTCAGAGGTCAGCACACAGGGGCAGAGGCCGGAGGATCACACATGGTACATTCACCCTTCCTTGGGTAGAAGTAAGTCACATGATCACACAGAGACACAAGAGTAACTGAGACATGTAATCCAAGAGGAAGAGGAGATAGGTTTAGTGAATATGTAGTGAGTTTTCCCATGAAGTTTGGGATTTAACTAAGGAAAATATGGAAGTCTCTCTAAGACAAATTGTATTGGCATATGTGTATGTGTATGTGCCTGTGCGTATAGACAGAAAGTTCAAACAATTAAAATCTATTTGGAAGAACATTAAAAAATATGATTTAAAAGTTGCTAGTACTTGGGAATATAACAGGATGTTTCCTATCAAGCTCAAAATTGGGAAAGTAAATTCAGCTTTGAGAGTTAAAGGCTAAAAGCAGCAGAGGATGTATGTGAGCCTAGGCATGCAACGTAGGAAAGAGGGAGTACGGCTTCCCGGCTGCTGGACCTAAGTGTCACCTGGAAGACGAATGTATTTACACACCAATAATATAACGGTCAACACTATTAGAGAACATATGAGAATAATAGAGACAAATGTCAGCAGTGCCAGTGTCAAGTTGTCTAATAGGTAGATAACTTTAACCAGTGATACATCAGTTAGCATCAAGTATTCAAGATCATTCTTCTGGCAGTACCTTAGTCTGATGTTGTTAAGCATTTGAAAACTAGTTTTACATGTTCTGATCTAATGCACATCAGGGAAACCTGTGATTCTTGGGTAGCTCTGCTGACATGGAGAGAACTTGTTGATCACGGAGACTTTGAGGGCCCTTAATCCTGCGGTGATGATTTCTCAAGGTAGTTAATTATGGCTTCTGATTGTGATTCTGGAGGGGAAAGCTGACCATGACCATGCAAATATTTATGAGCTGCGTAACAGCTAGGTTTTCACTGTAAGCTAGCATATTGGCATTCTGGTTTTTATCCTAGTTTCCTGTGCATTTTCATTAATCTGTGAAGTCCTTCTAGGGCTTGCTGCTTACCCTTGAGTGGAGAAAAGGACAATCTCTTGGTCTTGAATGTGTGGAATGATAATAGATATGTTTTTCTTGCTGTTTCTTCTATTGCTTCTAGCTTCACTTTTTACTGTTTTCTACATGTTAGATTTTTAAGGTAGTTATATAACACTGGCCTTTAAGCTTTAAATACTTTAATGTGTGAGTTGAAAGTGCATACAGAATATATAACTGTGAAACAAACAAAAAGGGATAACTAAAGCAAAATTTACATTTTGTACAAATTAGATACAATCTTGGACAAATACTGTAACAGTGAAGCAGAGCTACCTATGAATGTCTTTATTGTTAGAAAATAGGTATGTGGTATTTACTTAAAATTCAAAATGTTTCAAATAGTATAACTAATTTTTAACTCTACATTTAAAGGAGAATCCCTGATCCATTTGCACTTATTTATACATGCCTCACAACTTTCTTTCCTATGAATTAAAAATTAATTTCTTTATGTGGAAATTATTTTATAAGTATATGGCAGAAGTAGGCCATTCAGGTCAAGCTAAAACAGAAAAGGAGCCTTGCTTTTTAAACCAATGTGGATTAAAATGATTCAGAAAACCACAAGATAATGTCTTCAAATTATCTGTTGTAGATCGTGTGTTTTATTTTAGTTTCCAACTAAATATGACATTTAGAGAAGAAAAGTTTAAAATTTGTAAGAGTTTTTATATTCATATTTTCTACCATACAGTACCGATTCTTCATTGGAAAAAAATATCCTCAAAGCAAATGGAAAGTAGTATTTTGACTTAAAGGAATCAAGAATAAATTTAGGCATTCAGTTTGAGCATATCTAAAATTTGAAGAATTTAATTAATTTTGAAGTATAGGTAAATTTACTATAGAGATTCCATTTTCTACACAATAAGGTGGTGAGCTAACTAATATAACTATGAAAATTCAAATGGACCTCAAAACTAACTTAAAAATTCTCAGGGGCAAAGAAACTATGTGCTTAACTATTGCAATTGTCATTTGCAGATCTGCTCCATTGGGCTTCTCTGTGGTAATGAAATAAGAAGAATCACCTGTTTACCTCCCAGCTCTCAACGAAAAGAGGCCACTTCCACACAAACATACACAGTGCCCACCTCAGGGACTTCGGTCAGTAGCATCCCACCTGCCAGGGCTACCCAACTGTGGGCCATAGTGAACACTACTCCAGTTGGTGAAGGTAAGTAGATGAGACTATGATGCGGAGAAGTTTGAAAATGTTATGTTTTAAAACATATTTTCTGACTTATTTCAATATTTATTTTTCTAAGACACTTGATTTTTCAGGGCTATAAAATTGGCTTAGAATTTTTGTTGGTTATGTGCTGTGTTTTAAGTTTTAAAAACGTTGGTGTCCTTTATGAATAAATACTCTTTCTGAAACAGTGCAAAAATGTTCATGAATAGTCTTTATTCTGATATGTAAATTTTGGTAGATAACTGAACCCCAATTCTACCGCATTTTGTTTCAACTATCAGTAAAACTTATTTAAAAGACCTGTACTACTTGCCTCATTATGTCTTTATTCAACATCCTCTGAATCATTATATGTAAACTTATATTCCTATCAATTTATTGGAAAAACACTCAGATTTTTAAAAATCTGTTTTTTCCTATTGGAAAGTATTTTGACAGGTTGAGTATGTTTTGACACGTCTTATTTAACTTACTAAATCAAATGGTGCCATATTGTAAATAGTATATTGTATGTTAAATTCCAAATTCTTTCTTGTCTCTCAGGATAAGTAGAATGAGAATTATAGCCTTTAACAAGGTATTCCTTGTTTAAAAAATATTTTTAAAGCCTAATGGATATTATAAGCATAAAGGTATACTGCTCTATATTTTTTCTGTATAATTTCTGTTCTTTTAAGGAATTAATTTGAAATATGGTATCTAATATAAAAAAAATTGTCTCTTCAGAAAGTAAAATGAAATTTCTAGTATTTCTAACTCATTAGGTCAAATATTCTTTTATATTTTTTACTGTCAAAGAATTGTAAATTTTCTTGTTTCATACTTCAAAGGCATCATTATTTTGGAATGAAGGTTATTCTAAAGAAGACCATTTGTTCTGAATTTGGCCACCCCAGGGAGTATGAATAATAGAACTCTGCATTTATGCAGCTTGTGTAGTCACTAAACTTTCTCATACACTTTTATTAGAAATATGATTTACAGAGCCACATTAGTCTGCATATATATAATGTGTATAAGGTACAGTGTAATTTGCAGAAGATTCAGCCCAGGGCTTAATCCATTTTTCTTCTTCCTTTTCTTTCTTGCTCTCTCGTTCTTTCTTTCTTACCTTTTCCTCTCTGAAGGTCCAAAACAGACAGACTTTATCCAGCACGACGTTCTCCCAACCACTGGTTTGGCAGCATTAAATATTGGCACGTCCTCTGAAAGCTATTTACTCGAAGAACTGATTTCCACTAAGAAGCTTTCAGCAAAACACAGTCTTCCTTCTTCAGCAGATGTTTCCTCTTCTCAGTTTCTGAATTTTGGTGCTCATGACCCAGCACAAATCGTCGGGGGCAAAACACCTGTATCATGTATGCCCATCCAAACTCCAGTGGGCGCACCAGGACTCTTTTTCCCTGATAGGGGAGAGAGCACCCCGTTTATCATCTCTTCCTTAATGACAGATTTTATTTTTCCTACACAATCTTTATTATCTGAGAGCCCGCGGACTGTTGTCTTGTCTGCTACCACAATGAGTTCAGTAACTAGTGGTGTTCCAGGGGCTGATGTTGAGTTAAACAGACATTCATTACTCTTCCGTGGCTTCCCGCCCGCAACTGCTTCCGTGAGTGCACCTCCAGTCGTCTCTCAAGAGGATATTGAAGGATATTCAGCTCTTTCGTTAATTTCAAGAGAGTCCTGGAGACTGCTGAGCTCTTCGATGTCTCCCATTTCTCCTGCTAAGATAATCATATCCAAGCAGGTAGCCGTCTTAAATTCATCAACTCTGCACCAATTCACCACACAAGCCTCCATTCCCAGTGAAGATCAGGTTATTACCGAAGCATCCAGCAACCAGAGAGTCACAAATATCAAACCACAGGCTGCTGATTCTTTAAGTGAATTAAGCCAAACGTGTGCAATGTGTTCTATGACTGAAATAAAATCCTTTCATGAATTTTCAGATCAAGTTTTGCATAACAAACAGTCCCACTTTTACGAGACATCCTGGATGAATTCAGCAGTATTAGCCAGGTGGTTTGCACGAATGGGAACACAAGCTATCACTTCTGGACATTCACTTCCTTCGGCTGCTGAAATCACACCATCAGTGGCAATCACAGAACTGTCATCTTTATTTCCTTCTACAAAGAGTACAAAAAGAAGAATTTTAGTCTCATCCATAGAAGAATATATTACCCTATCAAGTAATTTGGATGTTAATTTATGTTTGGATAAGATGTGTTCATCCATTATCCCTTCACAAACTGTCCCTTCAGACCTGACGAATTCGGATTTGACTTCACAACTGACTGCTGATGATCCTTCAGTATCAGAAAACATTTTTAAACTATTGAAAATAGGAATCTATGGTACAACTTTGGGTCCCACTGAGATGCTGAATGAAGACAAGTTACTGGGCGTGCAAGAGCATGAAGGGTCTTATACTCAGTTCAAACCTCATACAGGGGATGGGTCTCTAAATTTTGAATTAAACTTTCAAAGTCATCCAGAAACTATACATTCAAGTGACCTCAACCTACCACGACATGTAGACTCCACGTCTGATTTTTCAGAAGTAACCTCTCCTGTAGCATTTTCTATAGCTTCAGCAACTCAATCACTTCCAATACAGACCTCTGTCCCCATGTCTGTAGTTATGCCAGATTGGACATATTATACAGATTATCTGACCTTAGCACCTGATTTAAAAGAAGAGGTCAGAACTTCTTCAGAATGGTCCAGATGGGAGCTGCAGCCTCGTGGGCGTGGTCAGGAATCTCCTGCAGCAAGTCAAAGGCTTTCCATCACTAGGTCTCTTATCTGGTCTTCCCTGGAGCCCATTCCGGCACCTCCTCAGCTGATGATTTCTGGTGAGTTCCTCAGTTTTAGTTCTGTAAACTTTTAGAAATGAGTTTCTTTTCTACAGAGAAGAAAGAGCCTGTCATGGTCACCAGGTGCTCTAAACAGCCTCTTTGTAAATCGGGGCAACAGCCAGTTCAATGGAGATGGCCCCTGCTGTTGTACCTGTCACAAGTGGTTATTCTTTACACACTGCCACAAAGGCTCACAGATCAATGCAGGAGTATGTTGGAGATGGCTATACCACAGGCAATCAATCAGCAACAACTAGTTCAAGTCGTCACAATGGATCTTTCAAAGTTTTGGAATAACTCTTATTATTCTCATTTCTTGAAATAGCTTCTTTGTAAGATTGAACATAATATAAAAACACTTTCTAACATTTTCTTCAGAGCTGGTACTTTTTAAACTGAAAAGATGAAAAAACTCAAGGGAACTCTATTGGATTTTCCCATCCTACATGGTGTGGTTTATCATTTTTTCATGCAAAGCCGTGATGCTTTCACTGTATACATAATACAGAATATAAATTAATGTCTTTTATTTAACAAAAACACCATATAGCAACTGACAGAAAATATCCTGTATATGAATTTGAATTCAGAGTCTTGAAATAATTAATGAAAAGCCACTTTTCTTAGATAACTGCTCTCAGCTTAAAGCATTTTATAAATTACTAATCTCCTTTACCCTTGTAAATTACTATCAAGTTAGGAAACGTGCAAAAAAAAACTTTAAGAAATTGTATTTTACAGAAAGAGGATATTTTGCATTTTTAAAAGAGTTCTATCTTGTGGCATTTCAAGTGTAATTGTGGCAGTGAAGTTAATTTTTCTTCAGTGAGGAATTTATTAGTTTTGTGTGTGTATGTGTGTGCGTATATGCTTCAGAAGAAATACGCATTATATCAATATTTTAAAGTTTTTATGTGAGTGACTTATGGCTGGCAAATCAGTAATATGAAAGACCAAATCATTATATTTGGTGTGTCCAATATGATATGATTTTCTTTACAAAGTTTCTAAAAATAACATAGTAAGTTTAATTACAAATTTAAAAGTAGAATCCTCCTTGTACTTTTATAAGATGATAGCTGGTTGTCTAATTTATGACTTATCGACAATGCCTAACACGTCACTGCTCACAGAGAAGGTTCTTAGTAAATGTAGCTGAGTTACACCTCCTCTCCTACAGTAACCCCATAGCCACCCCTGACTGTCCAGACAATCAGGACACAAATTCCCCATTTCTAGGAAATTGAATCCTAGTTTTGCCCTCTATGAGCAAAATCTTGTCACATTGCATTTTGCTCATCCCTCACTCCAACTGCAAACATTCTTTGATGGTTTTGACCTCCTCCAATTCTCCTAGCCTCCTTCTAGTTTCTCTTGCCTCCCTAATCCTTTTAGACAAGGTAATCAATCATTTCCAAGACATGCTGGCATTTTTCCAATATCTTCATCCACTGTATTGGTCAGGGTCAAATCAGGGAAAAGATAGCAAACTCCAACTGGGTACTTGGGGAGAGTTTAATAAAAAGATCATTTACAAATATATGGGTAGGGTATAAGGAAACAATGAGGCATAGTATGGTTTGCTGGGACTAGTACCAGCAGAATGTCATTACTGCCCCTAGGCCAGAACGGGCAAAGGAAAGGGCAGTTACCAGGACCCAGAAACTATGGAGGAAAGCTGCCAGTTTACAGAAGCTGTGGCTTCTCTGTAGGGGAAGACAGAGCAGTCCAAGGCAATCCAAGATGGAGAAGCCCAGGAGATGTACACACAACCTCACTGTCTCCTGTCCCTGTTGACCAAACCCATTCAGGATCTGGAAAAGATCTTTAAAACCACATCTGGTCTAATATTTTCATGTAAAGAAAAGGTGGGTAGGACATAGTAGAATGGCCTGCAGTGCTAAAATCTTCAGTACGTTCTAATACACTGCCAAAGTATGGAAGGAATGTGTCGCTGACGCAGGGAGAATTTCCTTGTATGTTTCTAAAGTGAACCATTGGGCACTACTATTTCCTCCCTTCATGCTGCTTCCATACTAGGAAGTATAAAAGGTGGAGAGCCTGTTATTCTGTGCTCCCTTGCTCTGGTGAATTCCTCACCTTGCATTGGGTTGCTGAGAAAAAAAAAAAAAAAAGATACCCCAAGCACCCTCTTGTGATCAACAAAGTGAGCATCATGGCACAACCTCTACCAGTGTGTCTCCTAGAGTTTGGTGGGACTTTTGACGCATATTATTGCTATTTTGCAGTCCATCCACAGCTCTATTAAGCTGAATGGAAGGTGTTGTGGTACGCCATCCTCTAAACAATCCAGTCTTTGCGGTTTGGTCAAACTCATGAAGAAAATGAAACCTAAGAGAGAAAAAAGAACATTTTTTAGCAGTTCATATTAATTTTCTGTAGTAATATGTCTATTTTTTTTTTCTACCAGTTGTTTGGGAAGAGTGTAAGGGAGAGCAACTGGAGATTCCTGACCTAAATATTCTCTAGTAGCAGTGGGTAGCAAAAATAGCACAAAAAGAAAAGTTTGCATGAGTTCCATTTATTCCATTCATATTTGTAACGTTTCAAGTTAAAAAAAAAAATCCAGTACTATATTAGTAAAATTCTAGAAAATGGTAAATGTTATTTTCTCCAGGAAGAAAAGAATGTGTCAAAGTAAGATATTTAATAATAACATTTACCACATCATTAGATATAAAGACATTGACATTCATTTTATAGTTTACTGAGAGTGTTTAGTTTTTTCTCTTTTCTTCTTTCTATTCTAAGGGATTTACATTATCTCCAAATCTTTTAGGTATATATTATTGTTGACAAACATAACAATATAAATAGCTCACAATGATACTTAATCCCATTCTTTTTTTTTTTAAACATCTTTATTGGAGTCTAATTGCTTTACAATGGTGTGTTAGTTTCTGCTTTATAACAAAGTGAATCAGTTATACACATACATATGTTCCCATATCTCTTCCCTCTTGCATCTCCCTCCCTCCCACCCGCCCTATCCCACCCCTCTAGGTGGTCACAAACCACTGAGCGATCTCCCTGTACTATATGGCTGCTTCTCACTAGCTGTCTATTTTACGTTTGGTAGTGTATATATGTCCATGCCACTCTCTCGCTTTGTCACAGCTTACCCTTCCCCCTCCCCATATCCTCAAGTCCATTCTCTAGTAGGTCTGTGTCTTTATTCCAGTCTTACCCCTAGGTCCTTTATGACTTTTTTTTTTTTTTCTTAGATTCCATATATATGTGTTAGCATATGGTATTTGTCTTTCTCTTTCTGACTTACTTACTCTGTATGACAGACTCTAGGTCCATCCACCTCACTACAAATAACTCAATTTCGTTTCTTTTTATGGATGAGTAATATTCCATTGTATATATGTGTCACATCTTCTTTATCCATTCATCTGTTGATGGACACATAGGTTGCTTCCATGTCCAGGCTATTGCAAATAGAGCTGCAATGAACATATTGGTACATGACTCTTTTTGAATTATGATTTGCTCAGGGTATATGCTCAGTAGTGGGATTGCTGGGTTGTATGGTAGTTCTATTTTTAGTTTTCTAAGGAACTTCCATACTGTTCTCCATAGTGGCTCTATCAATTTACATTCCCACCAACAATGCAAGAGTGTTCCCTTTTCTCCACACCCTCTCCAGCATTTATTGTTTGTAGATATTTTGATGATGGCCATTCTTACCGGTGCGAGATGATATCTCATTGTAATTTTGATTTGCATTTCTCTAATGATTAATGATGTTGAGCTTTCTTTCATGTGTTTGCTGGCAATCTGTATATCTTCTTTGGAGAAGTGTCTGTTTAGGTCTTCTGCCCATTTTTGGATTGGGTTGCTTTTTGTTATTGAGCTGCATAAGCTGCTTGTAAATTTTGGAGATTAATCCTTTGTCAGTTGCTTCATTTGCAAATATTTTCTCCCATTCTGAGGGCTGTCTTTTTGTCTTGTTTATGGTTTCCTTTGCTGTGCAAAAGCTTTGAAGTTTCATTAGGTCCCGTTTGTTTATTTTAGTTTTTATTTCCATTTCTCTAGGAGGTGGGTCAAAAAGGATCTTGCTGTGATTTATGTCATAGAGTGTTCTGCCTATGTTTTCCTCTAAGAGTTTTATAGTGTCTGACCTTACATTTAGGTCTTTAATCCATTTTGAGCTTATTTTTGTGTATGGTGTTAGGGAGTGTTCTAATCCCATACTTTTACATGTACCTGTCCAGTTTTCCCAGCATCACTTATTGAAGAGGCTGTCCTTTCTCCACTGTACATTCCTACCTCCTTTATCAAAGATAAGGTGACAATATGTGTGTGGGTTTATCTCTGGGCTTTCTATTCTGTTCCACTGATCTATATTTCTGTTTTTGTACCAGTACCATACTCTCTTGATTACTGTAGCTTTGTAGTATAGTCTGAAGTCAGAGAGCTTGATTCCTCCAGCTCCATTTTTTGTTCTCAAGATTGCTTTGGCTATTTGGGGTCTTTTGTCCATTCTTTAAGTTGAAACAGAAGAGATAGTTCCATTAAACTCATAAACTAGTCAAAATGCCTTTTATGTACATATTTCTTCTTATAGTATTTAAAAACTCTATTGGGAAAATGTATTATTTAAGTAGTAACCAAAAACACAAACTACTGCTGCTTAATACTATACAGAACAAAGTTTAAAAGGTGAAATTTGTTGAATACCTTAAAAGTAGATAAATGGAGACATATCTTTATTTGAGAGTTCAGAAGTGTGATCTCTTAACACACATAGACACTACATTTGAAAAGTATACAGCAATTTCAAACAATTTCAAATGGGATAATTGTTGAACCCTGATTAAGTCATTTTAAAGTGAAAGAGAGTAGGAAGAGAAATGCTGAAAAGGAATGGCAATAAGAGAGCTTGTTGGTAAAGTGTTAAAATAAACTTTAATAAATGATTATGATGTTATCACAGGGATGCAGATAAAAAAATAGAACAGAAAGTCCAGATATATATGTATACATATTAGATATAAAATTACAT